AGTGGTTCTGGTGCTTAGAGAGTCCCAAATGTTTCCAAAGTTACAACGTCTGCAAAGATTTCAAAGAGATTTCATTTTAAATATACTATTACAAGATTTATAAACAAAAAAACTCTCAGACAGTCCTCAAATGTACGATAAAAAAGCAATTGTGTGTATCAAAGACTCTAGAGAGACAGAATTTATATTGTATACATTTACATAATTATTTTTTATTTGTGTGTTCATGTACAAACATATTTGGTAGGGTAACCATTTTAAGAGAACACGCTGTATCCATTATATTGCAATATTTCAGACTGAGTCTAATATATTTACATACAAGAAATATAAATTCATTTTTGTCAAATATAGTGGGTGGCACAAAAATGCTTGGATGTGGCCAAATGCCCTGCTTATGGGTATTTATAAGAAACCTTAAGGAATTTGTAGCAAAACAGCTTTATAGAAATGATATCAAGATGTAAAAATGTATGCACATAATGTCTATAGGCAGCATTACAGCAAAATACTGTAGTATAAAATGTCTTTGCAAGATGTAGTTGCAGCTTACACAATATGCATAGTCCGTATCAATTGACTTTTAAGGCCTTGCTCTATGTTCCACCCCTGATTGTTAAGTTGAATAAAGTTTCCTTCATACTTGCTTACGATGCTTACTATGTGTGAGAAGGGAAGAGGGGGCTGGCATTTTATGTCTCCTCGCAGTGATACTTTTTATTATTATGGTTCATTATTTTTTTTTATTTATTGTTTTATTTTGTATATATTTTTTTCATTTACCATGTTTATCTTTTTTATATTTATTTATTTATTTATAAAATATTTTACCAGGAAAGATACATTGAGATTTCTCTCGTTTTCAAGTATGTCCTGGGTATATCTTTTTTCCTTTTGATATATTTTTTGTTTTTTGCATGTGTTCTTATTTTTCCTTTTTAGTTCTTTTTTATTTTTATTTTTTATATATATTTTATGTTTTAATTTTTTTAAATTTATTTTATTTTTATAATGATACCTTTTTTATATATGGTATTATAGATACTGTCCCCATTTTTGTATATGTTGGGAATGGGGTTACTTTTAAAGGTCTATATTTGTAATACGTGGATATGTTGGATACCCTAAGCGATGTTTTTACATTTTGTCTAATCATATTGCTGGGATAGTGTATTTAGTTATATCTTCTGCATTCTGCCTTGGAATGCACGCTCGACACAGGCAGGTTCTGGGAGGGGGGTGCAACGCATATTTTTTACTATATATTCTCGTTAGTTTATGTGCTGTATATGGATCGTAGAGTATGGTATTTGTAATGCCCTTTTTAGTTATAGTATGATATATGGACTTTAACACACAGACTCAGGTGAAGATAAGCATTTCATTCTTTGGGAGTTTCCATAGTATTGGAGATGCTACGCTAAAGGATATTACATAACGGAATAGAGGACACATTTTGGAAGGGAATTAAGGATGTGTGATTCCACTGGATATTATGGAAAAGCCAGTGAAAATCGGACACCAAACCCAGAACCATAGTAATGAGAGCTAAATATTTTGTGCACTTATACCCAGGGCCGGCACATCCAAATGCAGCACAGGTGGCCGCCTTAGGGTGCCAGAGTAGGGGGGCGGCGCAAAAATCAGATTTTTCACCTTACCTGTCTCCCTGCAGCTTGCAAGGAGCAGCCAGGGATGTCGGCCGGCCCCTCCTGATGATGTCAGGAGGAGGGGGTGTGACTTCCACTGCTTTTCTCCCAGACTCTTCCGCAATCCACTGGGGAGTCTGAAGAAGAGCAGTGGAAGTCACGCCCCCTCTTCCTGACATTATTATTATTATTTTAATATTTATAGTGCCATCAGATTCCGTAGCGCTGTACAATGAGTGGACTAACAGACATGTAATTGTAACCAGACAACTGGACGTATAGGAACAGAGGGGTGGAAGGCCTTGCTCCATGAGCTTACATGCTAGAGGGATTGGGGTATAGTGACACAAAGGGTAAAGGTAGGGATACGAAGTAGGTTGTTAGAAAAGTATTAATTGAGGGCTTAGTAGGTAATTTTTGACAGTTGCAGTGGAGGAGTCATGGAGGGTGGGTGATGAAGACCTGCTAACAGTTTAATTGATATGCTTTCTTGAAGAAGTGAGTTTTCAATGATTTTTTGAATGAGTGGAGACTGGGTGAAATTCTTACGGAGAAGGGAAGGGAGTTCCACAGAAGAGGTGCAGCCCTGGAAAAGTCTTGGAGGCGATCATTAGAGGTGGGAGCACGGATAGATGATATACGTAGGTCTTTGGCAGAGCATAGGGGCCTTGACGGGACATACTCGTGTATTAGGGAGGATAGGTAGGAGCAGCATTATGTAGGGACTTGTAAGCAGGCACCAGAATTTTAAATTGAGCCCTATATCTAACTGGAAGCCAATGCAGGGACTGACAGAGCGGGGAGGCGTGGGAGGTGCGGGCGGACAGGAAAATAAGCCTTGCCGCCGCATTCATTATAGATTGCAACGGTGCAATCTGGGAACACGCAAGACCACTGAGAAGAGTATTGCAGTAGTCCAGGCGAGAGCGAACAAGAGCATGGACCAGCACCTTAGCCGCATCCGGGATTAAATAGGGGCGGATGCGCGCTATATTTTTGAGATTGAAGCAACAGGATTTGATGAAGGAGAGGTTGGAGTCAAAAAGAACACCCAGGCAGCAATCCTGTGAGGTAGAGGTGATGGTAGCGCCGTTGACTTGGAGGGAGACAGGGAGGAAGGACCAGAAGTTCTGTTTTGAACAGGTTGAGTTTAAGGAAGAGGGCAGCCATTCATCATCAGGAGAGGCCGGCCCACTTCCCTGGCTGCTCTGTGCTGGCTGCAGGATTCTGCTCCAGGCTCCTGCCCACCCCTCCCTGGTAAGACTCAGGGGTGCGGTGATACACTTACAATAGTTTTTTTAATTTTTTGTCCCCCTCTACAGCCCATGCCCACCACTTCTATAGCCCATGTGCCCCCTCCCAGCCCAAGGCCACTCTATAGCCTCTGTTCCCTTTTTACAGCCCATGCCCACCCCTTCTTTAGCCCCTGTGCCCCCAACCATAGCCCCCATTCCCTCAAATTCACCACAAGGGAAACCATGACATGGTAAAGGCTAGTACAAAGAGGAGGGCATGTATATCTCTAGGTAATCTTTGGTCAGTCTGCGTTGTTCCTGCGATGCCAAATGCGTGGGCAAAATTTACATAAGAGTGTTTCAAAAATAGGGCAGGGTGGGCTGGCACCATAAAAAAATGCAGGTTCTAAGCATAACGTGATGCTGGATAGGAGATGGTGGTCCACTGAAGGATTGAAGTGAGAATAATGCCCCAATGTCACAGATACTGCTACAAGCAGATAGCGAAACACAATGGAATCTTCTTGAGTGAGGGACACATTGACAATAATTTTGACCTCTCGTAGCCTTTTTTCTTTCATGTAAAGTTGATATTATTATTATTATTTTTATTTTCATCACTTACATAGTATCAATAACATGTAAGAGATACATTTTTAAAAATTATAACAGATGGAAAAGGCTAATGAATGCTTTGCTGAGACAAGCTTATAATCAATACTTATATGTTGATTATAGAGATAAGCAAACGTAATAGTAAAAATTATAAAGGTGACTCTTTTAAGAAACTTCCTAAAGGATTAGAAGCTACGAGAAAGATTGACAGGAGGAGGTACATTGTTTAAAAGACTTGGAGCTGCCTGTTAGAAATCCTGTAGGTATCTTATCTAAATGGCTTTCCAGACAGGAACTGATTCCTCAGTTTGTATTAAGAGCAGGGGTCAAGTCCTGGGGAAAAAAGTGTGGGAACTCACCCAAGATTCCCGCCCCGCCCCCCCCCCTTTAAAAAAAAAAAAATTACACTCCTATGCATATAGTGCAGTGCAGGGTGTGTATAATGAATGTAGTGTGTTTGTAGTGAATGCAGAGTGTGTATAATGAATGCAGTGTGTTTTTAGTGAGTGCAGAGTGTGTACACAGAATGCAGTGTGTTTGTAGTGAATGCAGAGTGTGTATAGTGAATGTAGTGTGTAGTGAGTGCAGAATGTGCATAATAAATGCAGAGTGTGTATAGTGAATGCAGAGGGTGTATAGTGAATGTAGTGTGTTTGTAGTGAGTGAAGAGTGTGTATAATGAATGCAGTGTGTGCGTGTGCTGGATGATGTGTGTGTGCTGGATGACGTGTGTGTGAGTGCTGGATGATGTGTGTGTGTGCTGGATGATGTGTGTGTGTGCTGGATGATGTGTGTGCTGGATGATGTGTGTGTGTGTGTGTGGGTGTGCTGGATGATGTGTGTGTGTGTGTGTGTGCTGGATGGTGTGTGTGTGCTGGATGGTGTGTGTGTGCTGGATGGTGTGTGTGCTGGATGATGTGTGTGTGTGTCGCGTGTGCTGGATGGTGTGTGTGTGAGTGCTGGATGGTGTGTGTGTGTGTGCTGGATGGTGTGTGTGTGTGCTGGATGATTGTGTGTGCTGGATGGTGTGTGTGTGTGTGTGCTTGGATGGTGTGTGTGTGTGTGTGTGCTGGATGAGTGTGTGTGTGTGGGTGCTGGATGGTGTGTGTGTGTGTGGGTGCTGGATGATGTGTGTGTGGAGTGCTGGATGATGTGTGTGTGCTGGATGATGGGTGTTTGTGGGTTGCTGGATGATGGGTGTTTGTGTGGAGTGCTGGATGATGGGTGTGTGTGGCTGGATGATGGGTGTGTGTGTGCTGGATGATGGGTGTGTGTGCTGGATGATGTGTGTGTGTGTGCTGGATGATGGGTGTGTGTGTGCTGGATGATGGGTGTGTGTTTGCTGGATGATGGGTGTGTGTGTGCTGGATGATGGGTGTGTGAGTGCTGGATGATGGGTGTGTGAGTGCTGGATGATGGGTGTGTGTGTGCTGGATGATGGGTGTGTGAGTGCTGGATGATGGGTGTGTGAGTGCTGGATGATGTGAGTGCTGGATGATGTGTGTGTGAGTGCTGGATGATGGGTGTGTGAGTGCTGGATGATGTGTGTGTGTGCTGGATGATGTGTGGTGGAGTGCTGGATGATGTGTGTGTGCTGGATGATGTGTGTGTGTGCTGGATGATGGGTGTTTGTGTGAGTGCTGGATGATGGGTGTTTGTGTGAGTGCTGGATGATGGGTGTTTGTGTGTGTGCTGGATGATGGGTGTGTGTGCTGGATGATGTGTGTGTGTGTGGGATGATGTGTGTGTGAGTGCTGGATGATGGGTGTTTGTGTGTGTGCTGGATGATGGGTGTGTGTGTGGGATGATGTGTGTGTGTGTGCTGGATGATGGGTGTTTGTGTGAGTGCTGGATGATGTGTGTGTGAGTGCTGGATGATGGGTGCGTGAGTGCTGGATGATGGGTGTTTGTGTGAGTGCTGGATGATGGGTGTTTGTGTGTGTGCTGGATGATGGGTGTTTGTGTGAGTGCTGGATGATGGGTGTTTGTGTGAGTGCTGGATGATGGGTGTTTGTGTGAGTGCTGGATGATGTGTGTGGGGGGGGGAGGATTTTTTTTAACTTTATATTTTTTTTTTATTTTATTCCCCCCTCCCTGCTTCTTACCTTGTCAGGGAGGGGGGAGATCGCCTGGTGGTCCGGTGGTATGCTGGAGGGGCCATCACGCAGTGTTCCCTCTCCAGCTCTAACTCTCGCGAGACTCGCCTGTGCGGAGCGTTGCCATGGTAACAGCCGCGGGTCTCGCGAGAGTTATAACTGGAGAATGAACACAGCATGTGACGGCCCCTCAGTGCAGGGACCAGGGCCGGTCCTGCAGGACAGGTAACGGGAACGGCGTTCCTGCTTTGGAAAAAGTGCAGGAACGCCGTTCCCATGCGTTCCTGCAGGACTCGAGCCCTGATTAAGAGCTATCAATCATATTTAAGGGGGGCCAATCAGATAGTGAAAGAATAACCTCAGAAGTCTAAATGTATCGTCTATTCTCTAGGTTATGTCACAATCTATACATCATCATAATTATAATCATAATATTATCATCATTATTATTATCTGTCTAACAAAAGTGATGTCACAATTTCAAGCACTATGTGGAAATCAATTCAAAAATATAATATCCACTCTATGTTGAGTGTATGACAAACAATGGCCTACTCACGTGAGAAAGTACTACTCAAAAAGAAAGCTATAAAGCTAGTTTCTGTTCTTGGCAAGTGTTTCTTGAAGAAGATGACATAGTTTGTGCATCAAGGTACTAAATCACTCAGAAAGCCCATTTGTGGTGAAGCCTTTTGGCTAGATGCAAAGTGCTTGATGGTTGGCCCATGCTAAAAACCATGATCATGAATCATGATCTACTGCTTGTGATGGTGTCACAGGGTATGTATGTGTGTCTGTAAGTGTGTCTTTTAAAAAAATCTGTGCAAGTCTGATTGTATGTTTGTGAGAGTTTGCAAGCGTGTCTATGTGTGTCTGTGAGAGTGTAACTATGTGTAATATAAGTGTTTTCTCTATAAATCAGTATTTATATAATTGCCACTCTTTTGGAGCTGGGGGTGAGGGGGGGGGGGGAGGGGGTGTGCACCACCTTTTCATATGACACAGAGTTCCTTGAGTTCTAAGGTCAGTGTTAATCATTGTTCTAGACAGAACACTGAAATTGGACACATAATCCTATAAATTCAGTGATTCAGTTATGAAAATATGTCTATTTTACAGCATGCTTTAACATTGACCAGGCTGTTTCAGTGTCAGCTTCGCCATGGTCACTTGAGATGAAAATCAGTAAGTCTAAAGGTATTCTCATACAAAGCATAAATCCTGAATGAGTCAATCCTCCCAATCTGTAACAGACATTATTACATGGTCTCGCCATGTTTCCTTCTATCATTAACACTGTGTCAGCCAAACGCTTGAAATTTCTTTTTCCTTTTTAATTAATCATGACCTTTTCTGGACATTTATCATCTGCAGTATCTCATGTACAAATGAAGTAAAAGCTACGTGTGCTTTGAAAAATTCGGTGAAATAAACGATTAACCATTTGAGACGTTTCCGACTTGTGTGATGTGTCCCGTCTTCTCCCTACTCTGAAATTGCATAAAGTATTATGGGTTATGCATTGTGCACATGTATAATATTCACTGTTGGCCACATGCCCTGTACATTTAACGAGGGAGCAATCAGTTTCACTGTTTGAATTTTTTGCTAACTAATATATACAACTGTGCGATGAGAATTGCAGCTTATGATGTGCCAAAGGGATTACAACCCGCATAAAACTATTTACAATTACTAAACGCTCTCTGCATTGACCTATTCACAGTGTGCCTAATAATCCTTCTTGGCTTTGAAACTGACAGGCGAACCTATTAAAGATCTAAAACGTCCGCCCTTTCTGCTGTAGACATCTTTAAGACTTCATTACGGCTTTGTCGTTTTACAGCTTAATCAACCGGACATGATGTCATGTCTAGATTTATTATTCAACCCAAAGAGAGAATTTGAAGAAAAAAAAAATAGATTGTTGACTATCAAACCTCAAGACCTCTACTATGTGATACCTTAATGCAAACCAGTTGAGAAATATTGTTTTTTTCTGCTTGTTTGTGTTACTCTCCATTGCAATGTGTAAAATTATTATTTTTAAATTAGTCACAATAAGGAATTTTCGTAGGCGCTTTTTAATTGCATGTAGAAAAAGAATTGGTAGTCTATGGTTGCTATAATGCTTAAAAAATGCTAAATTAACCCTACGTGCACTATTGTGCAGTGCCTGTTGCATATTTGCTGTTGAAGGGACACTCTAAGCACTGAAACTCTCTTTGCGTAATGAGTAATTATGTTGTATATATCAGTCTCACTGCTCAATTCTCTGATATTTAGGAGTTAAATCACTTTGGTTATGCAGGTGTGACTCACAGCATCCATATATGCTTACTAAAATCTGCCTGCAGCAGCTTCCTGTGTGTGATTAAAGTTCCTTTAATACTACCAGAGCAAGACATGAACGATACAAAATCAAACCTTTACTATATGCAGGCTGTGTGAATCTCACTCAGGAGGGGTGTGGCTAGGGCGGCATAAACAAAGTCATTTTATCTTGTAAATGGAAGAGAATTGAGCAGTGCACAGGGGCATAACCTATACACCAAAACTGATTCAGTAAGCTGATTTTGTTTTGGTGCTTAGAGTGTCCCTTTAACACTGTACACACACAATCAATCCTGGATGCCGAATACCCAGCTGATAGAGGCTGGCAGAGGGACTTTTGGTAGCAGTCATGGTGACAATTGAGTAGCTCATACTAAAATAGTAAATGACAATTCAGTAGAGCTGAATCCTTATATCCTTTAGCATTCTCTGCTACCCATTGCACAGCATACAACATTCAAATATATTAGATGATTAGGATGTGAACTTCCCCATCATGACATCTCCAGCAGAGGGAATGGACTTGGTGCCGTGGAATTCGCACTTGAAAACGGCTTGACAAAAACAGGAGGAATTACACCCACTATAAGAACTACAATGTATATGGTGTGTGGTGAGACTAATAATAAGTATAATAATAAAAAAAGTGATGCATATGTACAAAATCCAAACAATACCTGAGGCAATGTAGATACTGTGTCAAAACAAATTGTTGCTTTACCCTAAATACTCTGTTTGCTTGGGTAAAGGGCAATTAATCATGGAGGCTGTGTGAGTTATGCAATTCATAACCATTGCATTTTACAAAGGATAGATGGAAAAAAACTATAAAAAACTACAATACTTGTAATGTTGAAATAATGAATATAAAGCTGAAATCTATATAGCACTTTAAAATCTGATACCCTTTCATTAGTAATAGCAAATAGGCCCAAATTGGCCACAGGACCAGCAGATAAGAAGGGATGGTTGATCACTGCTTCATCATGATTTAAAGGAGCACTATAGTGCCAGGAAAACAAACTTGTTTTCCTGGCATTATAGGGATATTAGGTTCCCCCCCCCCCCCAAGGGCCACCCTCCTGCCACTTACCTTAATCCAGTGCCGGCTCCCTCAGTGCTAGTGACCTCTTTTCCCCCTGACAACATCAGCTCCGAATTCCGAATGCGCATGCGCGGCCAGAGCCGAGCGCACATTCAAACCACCCATAGGAAAGCATTACTCAATGCTTTCCTATGGACGTCCAGCGTATCCTTAATGCGATTTTTGCATTGAGGATCACGGAAGCGCCTCTAGTGGCTGTCAGGGAGACAGGGGTGCAGGGCAGGTGCAAGGATTTTTGCCGCCCTTAGGCAAAAACAATTTTGCCGTCCCCATTCACTTCATCCACTCATGCAGACTGACACACACACACATGTTGACTCAAGTAGACAGACTCCGATAGATGCAAAGTGACACACACTAACCCAAGCAGACTGACACACAAACACACACACTGACCCATGAAGAATGACACACATGCACTTACCCATCCAGACTGACACACACACTGACTTATGTAGGCTGACATATACTGACTTAAGCAGACCTACACACACTGATCCTTACAGATACACACACACACACACACACTGACCCACAAAGACATACACACTGACCCATACAAACACACACATACACAGACTCACCCAAGCAGACTGACGGGCTAACACACACTAATCATAGAGGCACACACACACTGACCCATACAGACACACACACTGACCCATACAGAAGCACTGACCCATGCAGACACACATTGACTCAAGGAGACACACACACTGATCCATGCAGACACACATACACACACACACACAGACACTGACTCATGCAGACACACATCCACATACACACTGTCCCATGCAGAAACACACACTGACCCATCCAGACACGCACATGCACAAACTGATTCATGCATACAAACACACTGACCCATTATCATGCATACAATCACACTGACACATTTAGGCACACACATAAACACACACACTGACCCATGCAGGCACACACTTATCCATGGAGACACAAAAAACTGGCCCAAGCAGGTACAGGCATACACACACACTGACTCATGCAGACACACACACTGACTTATACAGAAATACAGTGACCAATGCAGACACACACACACACATGCAAACACACATTGACCCATATAGACACACACTGACCAATGCAGACACACACACACACATGTAGACAAACACTGACCCCTGCAAAAAACACATACAGACACACACTGACCCATGCAAAACATACATACACACACTGACCAATGCAGACACACACACTGACCCATATAGACACACACACTGACTTATGCAGACTGACAAACACAAACATACTGACTGAAGCAGACTGACACACATTCTCAGAAATACACATTGCAATTTCCCATCTTATCTTCATTGCATAGATCAGTTTGCTGTTCATTTGTTCATCTTGCCTGCACCTGGTGGACCATCACTCCCTGTCTCAGCCCCATTACCTGTTATCCTCCTGTACACTTGTCCCCATGTACAGGGCAAGGGGCAAGAGCCACTGCCGTCTCTGTGGATGTTGGGGAGGGAAAGCGTGGTTTTGCAGGCTGAGGTACATGCCAGTGTCCTACCAGGTGCTTGTCAGCAGCCATGTATGTGCTCTGGTAACATGTCCGGCGGCAAGCTCTACATAGAAACATAGAATGTGATGGCAGATAAGAACCATTCGGCCCATCTAGTCTGCCCAATTTTCTAAATACTTTCATTAGTCCCTAGCCTTATCTTATAGTTAGGATAGCCTTATGCCTATCCCATGCATGCTTAAACTCCTTTACTGTGTTAACCTCTACCACTTCAGCTGGAAGGCTATTCCACGCATCCACTACCCTCTCAATAAAATAATACTACCTGATATTAATTTGTAAACCTTTGCCCCTCTAATTTAAGACTATGTCCTCTTGTTGTGGTAGTTTTTCTTCTTTTAAATATGGTCTCCTCCTTTACTGTGTTGATTCCTTTATGTATTTAAATGTTTCTATCATATTCCCCCTGTCTCGTCTTTGCCTGATAATTAGTACCTCATAGAGAGGCAGCCAAAGAAGCAGTAAAGCCACTTCCCTCGCCCCCCATAAGAGGCGACATAGGCAGCCCACTAATTGGCCTAGAGGAAGGGGCGTCCCTGCAGGGGTGTTCAAAAGATAGAGCTCTAGGGGCAAATCCGGTCTGGCAATTATTACAGATACAGAATAATATTGAATAATTTACTGCTGTTACCATGAGGCTACTTGATTGAAAAATTAAAGGGGCTCTGTCACTTAATTCTCTGCTGAGGTCCCTCTAGCCTCCCTAATCCGCTCAATTCTTGGTGATGACCCCGAGACCTACTGCTACTTATCAATTTTGCAGGCACTCCCACTGGACACTACACACTCCAGACTACAAACTACAAATTAAAAATATATATACATGGTCACTTTAAATTCAATAAAGCACATTTTTAAAAATGTAATAATGTTCCTAGAATGCACTTTGTAAAGTGGTACAAGGTTATATAATTAGATTGTTTTCCCTGATAATTAACATGATTAACGTGAACTCATAATCTTTCTGCTGATTATCCTGGGGGGGTGATTACTGGCTATCAGCGCCCTTTACATGCAATGAGATCTTTACATGCGCCCTTTACATGGACCAATATCACATTGTATCAGCAATGCAATCAGGTTTCATTTGAATAGTTATTTGTTTCTGATGACATAATTAGCCTGGAATATTTATAGCTTGGTGTATTTTTTGCATTTAACTAACACTTAGATCAATGCCTCTCTCTGGCAGTCACACATGAAAAACTCTTTCAAATCCTCGGCCAGACAGTGAAATCTTAAGCCGACTCCAGGAACAATAATGCTTCAAATGAAATAATGAATTGTCTTTGGCTGTTCGCTGTGATAGCATTACATATTTTGTTTGGAGAAGGACCGAACTGAGTGGAAACCAGACAGATACTAACGCTGCGCAAGGTTCTGTTTGTTCTGCTATTTTCTGACAAATGGTAGAAAACTTAAAATCTTTATGAAAACAATTCTGAACATCTCGATATAACTGTCGAAGGAAAGCAATGGATACAATACAAGTTCTTCACTTCCGCATGTTTAGTTGGGTAGTTAGAATGGGCAATATTTGAATTTGGTGATTTCTAGTTATAGTCAGGAGGAGATCCCATATCTGAAAACACCAACAAGAAGATTTAGTGCCAATTCTGATGACAAATTTGTAAGTTTTGAATGCAGTATGACCAGCAAAAATTCATTAACGCATAAAAAGAATGAAAGTTAATGTAAGAGTTATTAGGAATTCAAAGTGAATAAAGTTTTATGTCAGACTGGAGGCTTATTTCATGCATTATATTTCTTCTATACTACTCCAGCAGCAAAATAGTTAACAAGTTAGAGAGCAGAAAAAAAAACAGACAACCAAACTGGAACAAACAATGGAATATTCATTAACCAATCAGCATACAGCATAACATATAAAGAGAATGATCCCCTACAATTCCTCTTCATTCTTTACTGCTCGTTCGTTCAGGTAGGTATCTATTTCTATCTTACCCACTGTGCCAGTATTACTTGCTCACCAAAATCCCAGTAAATGAAAAACATGGACAATATCAAAAAGGTTAAAAGTAATATATACCAGGGAGGACTAGAACCCCGAGAATCCGCGGGACACACATTTCACAATTTCACAATCCTGACACAGGGGCCTGCACACGAGAAGACATACGTGCCCTGACCCTAGTAACCCCGACACAGATACAAGACCACCTCAAGGCAACCATCTATGCCACGACAGGACTCTACACCACACAATAGACTATACACGCAAAGTGAAGAGAAGACAGTACCCTCCACAACTAAGTGGACGCGGACTCGACCCAACAACACTGACACATGCACCAACACAGGACGGACCAAGGTGCCTGCACCTTAATGTTCACATCACTTGAACACCGGCATACGACTGCAGACTCGATTAGGGGACCGCTCAGCGGCTGCAAACAGACAAACTCGACTTGTTAAGCAACATACCAGTACTTTTGTATCAAAATAAAATGTTTTTATGTTTTCATGTTATTGGTTAGCCAGCCAGGCTGTTTAGAGACCTGCGTGTCTCATTCTATACTGCTATTTTAGAGATCTGCGCATCTTGCATGACCAATTATTATGCAGCACGCTTGAAACCTGCGCGTTTCCACCTACCTTCTCGCATGACATATTATGGAAAATTTGACAAACTTTCAATAAAAAGAGATTTACAAAAAAATAAAGTAATATGTATGTTCGCATCCAATAGTGTATATCGTAATGTATAAAAATAGACTTTAATCTGTTGAACCCTGTTAAAATTATGAACGCCGTCTGTAGAGAAAATATAGAGAACACAATGCAATGTGTTAATGTGAAGTAAATGTTTCCTTATTAAACAAGAACATGAACCATAATTTATGCACTTTTACAAGCCCTTTCTGTATGTTAACTCGATTTAAAGGAATACGCCAAGCTTGCTGAAGTGCTATAGGAGATATCCACAAGCCCCCCTTGTCCCAATCCATAAACGTTTAATTTATGCATTAATTTATTAAGAATTATAAAAGTGCAGGAATATGAGTAAACAAGCCAAGTTCAGGATTACAGACGTACACAGAGTCGAGAAACAGGCAATGTTAAATGCCAGAGAATCACAGAACAGTAATAACACACTAATTGGGAAGCAAATGAAAACCATGACAGGGAAAATGTCAGATTAAGGTAAGGACACCCTACTATTGGTCGACATAATTTCTGCAACACCAAAATGTGCAACATTTTTGTCACAGAAATGCTGCAAGCACAAGCACTGGCAGCATCATCAATATATGTAGGGTGGCAGGATTCCACATTAATATAAATGCAGGCAAACGTAGGATGATGTGGTGAAGGCACCGCAGAAACCACTACCGAGAAATGACACAGGTAATATACCAAGGCAGAAACCACTACCGAGTAATGACACAGGTAATATACCAAGGCAGAAACCACTACCGAGAAATGACACAGGTAATATACCAAGGCAGAAACCACTACCGAGAAATGACACAGGTAATATACCAAGGCAGAAACCACTACCGAGAAATGACACAGGTAATATACCAAGGCAGAAACCACTACCGAGAAATGACACAGGTAATATACCAAGGCAGAAACCACTACCGAGAAATGACACAGGTAATATACCAAGGCAGAAACCACTACCGAGTAATGACACAGGTAATATACCAAGGCAGAAACCACTACCGAGAAATGACACAGGTAATATACCAAGGCAGAAACCACTACCGAGAAATGACACAGGTAATATACCAAGGCAGAAACCACTACCGAGAAATGACACAGGTAATATACCAAGGCAGAAACCACTACAGAGTAATGACACAGGTAATATACCAAGGCAGAAACCACTACCGAGAAATGACACAGGTAATATACCAAGGCAGAAACCACTACCGAGTAATGACACAGGTAATATACCAAGGCAGAAACCACTAGCGATAAATGACACAGGTAATATACCAAGGCAGAAACACTACTACAAGGCAATACTACCACAGGTAATATACCAAGGCAGAAACCACTAATGGAAACACAGGTAATATACCAAGGCAGAAACCACTACCGAGAAATGACACAGGTAATATACCAAGGCAGAAACCACTACCGAGAAATGACACAGGTAATATACCAAGGCAGAAACCACTACCGAGAAATGACACAGGTAATATACCAAGGCAGAAACCACTACCGAGAAATGACACAGGTAATATACCAAGGCAGAAACCACTACCGAGTAATGACACAGGTAATATACCAAGGCAGAAGCCACTACCGAGTAATGACACAGGTAATATACCAAGGCAGAAGCCACTACCGAGAAAGGACACAGGTAATATACCAAGGCAGAAACCACTACCGAGAAATGACACAGGTAATATACCAAGGCAGAAACCACTACCGAGAAATGACACAGGTAATATACCAAGGCAGAAATCACTACCGAGAAATGACACAGGTAATATACCAAGGCAGAAACCACTACCGAGAAATGACACAGGTAATATACCAAGGCAGAAACCACTACCGAGAAATGACACAGGTAATATACCAAGGCAGAAACCACTACAGAGTAATGACACAGGTAATATACCAAGGCAGAAACCACTACCGAGAAATGACACAGGTAATATACCAAGGCAGAAACCACTACCGAGTAATGACACAGGTAATATACCAAGGCAGAAACCACTAGCGATAAATGACACAGGTAATATACCAAGGCAGAAACCACTAGCGAGAAATGACACAGGTTATATACCAAGGCAGAAACAACTACCGAGTAATGACACAGGTAATATACCAAGGCAGAAACCACTACCGAGAAAGGAAACAGGTAATATACCAAGGCAGAAACCACTACCGAGTAATGACACAGGTAATATACCAAGGCAGAAACCACTAGCGATAAATGACACAGGTAATATACCAAGGCAGAAACAACTACCGAGTAATGACACAGGTAATATACCAAGGCAGAAACAACTACCGAGAAAGGACACAGGTAATATACCGAGGCAGAAACCACTACCGAGAAAGGACACAGGTAATATACCAAGGCAGCAAAAAATGCAGTGGAGTCAGCTTCAAAGCAACAGGTACTGTAACGGGGATGTATGTCTTTTAAACAACGTTTTACCCCTCTTACCCAGGATTTTGCTGGTTTTGTGCATCTTACCACCATTTTGTGTCAGTTTGTTCTTTGTTCTTCCTTTTGCGTATTGTATCCCCCTTTTGTCATTCTTACTACAGATTTTAAGTCTTCATTCCCTTTTGTGGTCTCTTACCCATTTACTTTTCTCTTACTTCTTATCGTGTCACTAATTCCCCCTTTTGAATATCTTACCTGTTTAGTGTATCTTAAGCCCTTTCATGCCCCTTCTGTGTCTCTAACCCCTTTCTGATCCTTATTCCTCTTTTTATGTCTTTTACACATCCTTTTTTTCTTTTCCCCCTTGTGTCTTTTACTACTTCTTGTCTTCTGTTCTACTCTCTGTGTCTATCACACCCTTTTGTTTATTATCTAACTGTGTTTCCTGATCCCCCCCTTTGTGCCTCCTTGCGTAGCTACTCATTGCCCCCCCCGCAGTGAGCAGCCCCTGTCAGACCGGATATAGGATAAAGAAGTTCCTCTACAGTAGTCCGCAAGACCACACAATACAGAGTGTCTGGCGGGAATTCTGTGCACCAAGGATCTGACTGTCACCTAGATATTGTATCTCCAGACAGTGCACCCTATGGTGATCACCTGTTCACCCTTTTATGGAATCTCCCAGGCTAGGAGGTTTCCCTGGATAGCAGGTCATTGCTAGTGATGATATCCCGGCGTCAGAGCGGAGCTGCAAGAAGTAGACGCCTTCACCATCGCATTAGAGGCAAGTAATATGTTTTTTTGAGGGACATGGAGGGGGAACCCTCAATCAAAAATAGTAAAGGAATATATGTAAAATGAATATTTATAGATGTAACTGTACGTTAGAGTGTTCCTTTAACATACAGGGAAAAACTCAAAAGGAAAATAAATGCTGTCCAATTGTGTGAGTTTGAACAGCATAGCTGCAAATTACCCAAATTAAAATTTCAAACTATTTTCCCTGTCATGGTATATAAACATAAGCAATTGATCGCTCTTTCACATGGATCATTGAACAATGGCAGTTTAATGGTTTCCAGAAATTTTGTGCAGAAATTTAGTTTACTTTAGAATTCACAATTAGTAAATAAATATTTCTAAGTAACTTTAACAAAACATTCTAGCATGAAATTGTTGAGCAATTTAATGCTGCTTGATTTAAAAAAAAAAAAATTAAATCGCCAGTTTTGTTTTTATCAAAACTCTTTCTTTGATGGCGCTCATCGCTAAGCAGACCAGCGGCAAGAGAGGACTCACTGCTGCAGAAAAATAATTAAATACTTTTTACATTTTTTTGCGTGGCGTCTGGTAAATGAAATGTTTAAGGTTTTAAGTCTAGTGTTCCTTAAATCATAAATCTAGTTTCATTGATACCCTGAGTGGGTAACAAGCCATCCAAACCAGAGCCAGGTATATCAAATTGGCTCTCGATAAGGTGAGCATTATACCACCTGTTGTTTTTTTTTTATATTTGTATATTCGTTCAGATTCGTTTTGAACATACTTCACTAGAGAGATATCTTTGTCTTTACATATTCCTTAACGAGTATTGAAGGAAGGAATTAAAGAGGGAAGGTGTCTCCCAATATACACCAAAGTGAATGTGATCTGAGCCAGTACTTCTTTTGGCTCTTCACTTGTGAGTTGAACCTTATACATTTTATTACTCTAATATTAGACTTGATATACTCCACCATTAGATCATTTTCTCCCCCTTTTTTTCTGCATATTCCAATCTCTACTTTGAATTGTGTGACACCCCTAAGATTAGGAGTAAGTATTTTTCAGTGCTCCACTTAAGGGATTTTATTTTGGGTGGTTTGTGTTTCACTAACCCTCTCTTAAATTTCCAAATTTCTATCACATACATTGAGTAAGTGATATAGAGGCACAAAATATCTTTTGTTGCAAATTACCTAAATTAAAGTTTCAAACTATTTTCCCTGCAACGGTATACAAGCATTTAGTAGCTTAAGCAAATGATAGTTCTTTCACACGGCTCATTGAATAATGTCGGTTTAATGGTTTCCAGAAATTATGTGCAGCATATTATTCTACTTCGGATTTCACAACTACTAAAAAAAACAAAACATTTCCAAGTATCTTTAACAAAACATTTTTTTGATTTAAATTGTTAGACAATTTATCACTACTTGATTTAAAAAAAATTAAACATCCAGTTGCATTTTTAAAAATGATTTTCTATTAACTGCTTCTAAATATGGATTTGGCAAGGACATGGTGTAACTGCGAATGAGGTGCTTGCCCTACATTCTCATACTTCATATGACTAATACGAAACTGCAGGAGAGATATAGAGGCAGCAGATTCTTTGCATAAAGAGTTAAATATAAAGGAATTAGATATTCATGCTTGTTCCTGGACAATGCGAAATATATACAGGAATTAGATATCTAAGCACATTCTTGCACAATGGATTACTTTAATTGTTACTGAAACAGATAATCAGTTCCTTCGCTTGGTCCTAGAAAATGGAAGACATTTACAAAAACCAGGATCCCCTGCCTGCTTCTGATCAAAGAGAGAAGTATACAGGAATTTAACGTTTTATTTCATGTTTGTTTCTGCACAACAAAATAAAAGTACAATACGTTTCTCACCCTGTGTTTGTGGCACTCAGTGTGAGAAGTAATGAAAGATTACAAATTTATAGGTGACTGATCCAGAAAGCAATTTTTTCTAAAACCCAAAAATCTGCATAAGAAATATTAAATTAAACCTGTCATAAGATAAGATATGGGTTTGCAGTTTTCTAACCATCTGGCTTGACGCATATTATATTATTATTATTATTATTATTATTATGATATTTATATAGCGCCATCAAATTCCGCAGCGCTTTACAATGGGTGGACGAACAGACATGTAGTTGTAACCAGACAAGTTGGACACACAGGAACAGAGGGGTTGAGGGCCCTGCTCAATGAGCTTACATGCTAGAGGGAGTGAGGTAAAATGACACAAAAAGGTAAGGATAGTAGTAGACTAGTGACAGTTGCAGAAGAGGAATCAGTCAGGAGCTATTAAAAGTTTAATTGATACGCTTTTATGAAGAAGTGAGTTTTTAACGATTTTTTGAAGGAGTGGAGACTGGGTGAGCATCTAACGGAGGAGGGAAGCGAGTTCCACAGGAATGGTGCAGCCCTCGAGAAATCTTGAAGGCGAGCATCAGAGGTGGGAGTATGGACAGAAGATAGATGTAAGTCTTCAGCAGATCGTAAGGGCCTAGACGGGACATACTTGTGTATAAGGGAGGATAGATAGATGGGAGCAGCATTATGTAGAGATTTGAAAGCAAGAACCAGAATTTTAAATTGAGCTCTATATTTTATAGGAAGCCAATGTAGGGACTGACAGAAGAGTGAGGCATGGGAGGTGCGGGCGGACAGGAAGATGAGCCTCGCCGCCGCATTCATTATGGACTGTAACGGCGCAAGTTGGGAGCACGTAAGACCACTGAGAAGCAGATTACAGTAGTCAAGGCGAGAAAGGACAGTGGAATGGACCAACACCTTAGTCGCATCTGGCGTTAAGTAGGGGCGGATGCGCGCAATGTTTTTGAGATGGAAATGACAGGATTTGGCGATAGATTGAACATGAGGCTTGAAGGAGAGGTCGGAGTCAAAGAGAACACCTAGGCAGCAAGCCTGCGTGGTGGAGCTGATGGTAGCACCGTTGACTTGGAGGGAGACAGACACAGGAGTAACAACACTTGAGGGAGGAAATACCAGAATTTCAGTTTTGGTCAAGTTTAGTTTAAGGAAGTGGGCAGCCATCCAGTTAGAAACAGCAGAGAGGCAGTCAGAGACACTAGTCAAGAGGGACGGGGAGAGATCAGGAGAGGACAGGTAGATTTGCATGGAAATGATATTGGAAGCCAAAGGAGCTAATGAGTTTACCAAGGGATGCAGTATAGATGGAGAACAGTAGGGGACCAAGGACTGAACCTTGGGGGACACCAACAGAGAGGAGTTGGGGAGAAGAAGCAGAGCCAGAGAAAGAAACACTGAAAGAGCGCTGGGAGAGGTAGGAGGAGCACCAGGAGAGAGCAATATCTTGTAGACCGATATTGCGGAGGATGAGAAGAAGCTGTTGATGATCAACAGTGTCAAAAGCCGCAGACAGGTCAAGGAGAATTAGGATAGAGTAGTGACCACGAGATTTTGCAGCGAGTAGATCATTGGATACTTTGGTCAGTGCCGTTTCCACAGAGTGCTTAGCGCGGAAACCAGACTGAAGTGGGTCTAGCAGAGAGTTGGACTTGAGGAAGTCTGTCAATCTCGCATACACAATTTTTTCAAGGATCTTGGATGCAAAAGGCAGTAGTGAGATAGGACGATAGTTGGATGGGGAGTTAGGGTCAATATTGGGCTTCTTTAGAATTGGGGTTACAGTTGCATGTTTGAAGGCAATGGAAATATACCAGAGGAGACATATAATTACAAATTATTCCCCTCCTTTCCCCCTTAATGCTATTACAAGCACATATTTTAATTTATTTCCATTACCCCTTTCTCTTGCTGAGACTAACAATCATTTTTTCAGTGTGTGCTACACTTGCTCTAAGACAGATATTTCCTGCATCCCCTTATTTGGGAAGAACATACTTGCTTTCCCATTATAGGTTAAAAGTACCCAATACTTTATGTTGTCTTTGTGTGAATAAAACTTAACTGTTCTCTCTTGGCATTCCAAGAATTCCTATCCAAAGCTGCTGCATTAAATCAATGTGGTTGTTTCTCTCCAACTTGTTGCTGGTGCTGCTCTCACACAGAGCCTGTCCCTTCTCCCTATTTCCTCTTTCAGGTAATACTTTCTCTTAGTCTGAATTTAAGCATGAGAGACACTCAAAAGAGGGTTTCCCTGATAACAGACATGCAGAGCACTGCCTT